TCTGCATAATTTTCTAGAAAATTCTTTACTACTTCTGCAACATTTTTATCAATCACCATTTTAGTTTTTCATTGAGGTATCTTCTTTATATTGCCATGAACTCTTGCTAGAAGACCATTGTTTATTAGATGGTTTCTGATATTTTCAAAGTAAGTTCTACCAATTCCTAGCATATTGAGATAAGTTTCTTGACAAAGAAGTGTATTGTGATCCCAGTGATAGAAAGTTTTTTTGTTAGATCTGGTTTTCTTCTTAAGGCGTCTACTAGTGCTTATTGAGCCACCATCCATTGCTTTAAGTTGGGCCATTAAAAACATATCTTGTTCAGACTTGGAAAGAGCCTGAAAAGATTCTCTTAATTCTGCAAATTGTTCCTTGGGAATTCTTGAAGAGCAACCACATTTACAACCTTTTTCTAAAAAGTCAATTGCCTTTTCATATTCATTAGATCCATTATGGTTACTATTTACATTATTACTTTTCATATACCTATAACCCTATATATATAATTTTATGTTCACATTGTAGGTTTTCATTTATTTTAAAATTGAAGAGAAGTATATAAATAAAATTAAATTTAGGTGCATCAGTGAAAAAATTTTAAGCAAATGATTTGAAAAAAGAGAAATTGAAAAGTTTAGTTAACTGAAAAAAAAAAATCGATTCACATCTGCTCCCCCCCCAAAAAAAAATCATTTTACTATATAGTGAATTTAATTGTCTTTTTGCATTATACATATTAATATGTACTACAGTCAAGTATTTTACCAAATTTGGAAATTCTAAATACTGCAATGATCGACATTCTAGAATTGTCGTGGAATGAAGATTCTCAATAATTATTATTTTGTATCAATCATGAACTGTAAAATATACTAAAGTTTATTATTATTATTATTATTATTCACTCTCTTTATAACAGGCCATTTGGCTTATGAAAAAATGTTTATTATAGAAAGAATCCATTATAGACAGTGATGATTTATATATATATATATATATATTAATATGGGACATATAAAATTGTTATCAGTCTGTTATAGAAAGATCCATTATAGAGAGAGAAACTGTAGTTGGTAAAAAACTGCAATAAATTAAAAAAAAATGAATATAGTCAAACCTTTGCTTCAACGAATTATAAATTCGCATTACAATGAAACTTGTTTCAACGAATTATAAATTCGCGTTACAATGAAACTTGTTTCAACGAATTATAAATTCGCGTTATAATGAAACGAACTATAAAATTGGCATTACAATGAATTATAATTAACAAATTTTTAAACACATAATATAAAATTCGTGAAACGTGATTAATAACGGGTTTTGTTAGATGCAATTTTCTTATAAACAAAGTTTGGCTGTAAATAAATAATTAAAATATATTTTTTTACTTATCTCTTAATTCATTTAATGTTAGTTTCTGTTAAAATAGTTCCCTCTGATTCATCAACATCATCATTGAGATCTTTGACTTGTTGCAGAATTAGTAATAAATCATCTTTTTTTTTTGATGATAAGTTTTTAAACTGTGGCTGATTATTTTCATTCAAGGAACCAATCAATGTATGAATTACATTTAATAATTCTTTCTTTGTCATTGATTGTTCACTCAAATATTTTTCTTCTTCTTCAAAGGTAACTGGAATAGGGCGAAAACTTCTTTCTGGTAATCCATTTGAGTTCAGTTTCTCATTTATATAATTTCTTCAGCGAGATTGAGCCATGCTGCTAAATGATTTCATACCTTCACTTAATTTATTACTTCCATCTAAACTCTCAAAAACAGGATCAAGTTTAAATGGATTTAAGAAATCTTTCTTCCTTAATTCTACACGAAAACGTTGTGATTCTTTCTCAAAAGATGGTTTTGAACGAGGACCTATACTCTCTTGATCTGTATATCCAATAGTAGCAAGCAATTTTTTTCTTAACTGCCAGCCAAAAGAAGGTTTGTAAATATTAAAAAAATATATAAAATATATTAATATTAAGATTATTAATTTTTTAAGATAACTTACCATAATGAATTTCACATGCAATTTCTTGCTGCAATTATCCAATGCTTTTGATTTGGCACAGGTGGAATAAGTGTTTTCAGTGACTTATTTATTTCTTCAAGTATAGCATCCAATCCTTGATGTTGATTTAACCATCCTGATCTCGAAACAACTGAATTTTTCTCAATCAGTTGACGAATTTCAGGACAAAGACGTAATAATTGTTCCTCATCAGTCAATTCAATTAATCTATAAATGGGGTGTCTCCTTGCAGACCAAATTGGAGCAAACATTCTACGAGCAGCAGCTTTAAGTGAAGGTTGATTAGTTCTAATGCTTACACGAAAATTAATTATTGCCTGTAAGTAACAAAAGATCTGAAATTGAGAAAATATTTTTATTAAGAGTCATTTATTTTTCAAAAAAAAATTTTTAAATAGTAAGAATAATAGAATTACCTGCTCATATTTTAACTTGTATAATTCATCTTTTTGTTCTTTAGCCCAGCTGAGATATCCATCAACACAAGGATTGGAAACAGTAGTAACATAAGGCCACACTAATTCCATAGCCATAGCATGATGATAAATATTACATACTGAATCCCATGCTTTATGATAGTCACTGTATTTTTTAAAATAGCCTAATTGTTTTTCATTGAGATAACCTTGGCATAGAGCAAAGCTTTTCAAATCAATATCCCTAAAACCCAGAAGACATGTTAAAGGTTTTTCATTAATTAAATAATAACTAAAAAACTTATTTTTTTAACACCGACGACGCTACGGCTTTAAACAATTGGATTGAGTCAGCCAAAGATGCCAACGAGTTAGCCCAGTTCGAAGGTTGAGCCCTCGACGCTAACCGCCAAGTCCGCACCGACTTAACCGCAGCAAAAAATACCAAACAAACTAACATTGAAACTGCCCAAGATTTAACCAATACTAACCTAAAACAACGAGTAAGTGATGCCGATTTAAAAAATTGGTTAAATGCTCACCCACAAAATGCCAGAATTGCCGCTGGCGACAATTGAAAAACTTGACTCCAAGCCAGTGCTAATGTCGAGCAATTAACTCACCGTATTGGTTTAATTCACCAAGGAATTGGGATTATTCGCCAACAGCAAACTACTGATATAGATACTGCTCAAAAAAATGCTCAGGAAGTAATTGAAGCCTTTCGTGATAATCAGGATATTAAAGATAATGTTTTAAATAACCAATTTAAAAGCGATAACATACCAATTCAATTCTACAAAAGCTTTAAGCATATTCATTTCCTCATGGAGAGCTCCAGGCAACAAGATAATTCCAGGATATTCCTTTTTAATTGTTTGTGCATGATGGTAAGGAACTCCATCACATACAACTGCAATCCATTTTCTTTCTTGTTTGTTGATCCCACTGATTTCTTGTATGTGATCAAAAACCTTACGAACATTGGCAATAGAATTTGGATTTATTAACAAAGGATCTGGAATAAAAATATGTGGTGTATTGATGCCTTCTTCAGGTGCTGACTTTCGTGTTACACTAATGGAGCTTATATTCAAATCTGGTATGTCTTTTTCAATTTGATGGAACTTAATATTCAAAGGTTTTGTAATATTTTTTTCAGATGCTTCCTGACTTATTTCTTGTTCCATTTTTTGAAAATCTGCAAGTAAAGGTAAAAGTGCATTACACTGAGGACACCTACGCTTTAAATTCTCTATTTCTCTCATACCACATTGATTACACCATTTTATGTTTCCTGTTTTTACATTATACTTAGTCACAAGGTCATTAATAGTATTTATATCTTTATTTTTTTCTACAGATGCTTCAGAGATGATAGTTGAAAGATAATCATGAAGTTGTTGATCGAGTAATTCATGCATTCCTGGTGTAATATCAAAAAGTTCTTGAATTTGTGATGGGTCTAAGGATTCATGTAACCAAGGGTCTTCAAGAACTTGGATTTGATTATCAGGATCAAAATTAAAAGAAATAAAACTTGTAACAATGTGATATATAACTGTATTATAATTACGATCTAAATAATTTTTTTGTCCTTTTTGTTCGTTGTCAAATGCCATAAATAATAACCCCTTTGGAAGTGGTTCAGCTTTTCCAGCCAAATTTTCTTGCCATTTTATAAATTTTGTAAAGCTACCAGAACTTAAAATATGATTATCTATGTCAATGATGGTTCTAGATTTTGACAATGAATATTTAATTGCTGAAGTTGCTAAATTAATTGCAGAAACATATTTTAAATTCCTTGCTCCATAGACAGCATCTACTGCCACAGAACATTTGAAAAGTTTTTCACTGTCATGTTGATTTTCACTTTCACTATAAATAAGAGCCTCTATAAACTTAACAAGAACTGGATTACGTTTAGCAAGCCACTCTGAAGTTGAATATGATAAAAGATTATCCAAAGTGAATCTTTCTTGGTCATCAATTAAATTAACAATATCTTGATATATATTTTTTCGTTCATACCTAGCAACTTCTTTTATAATGTCAATTCTTACTTCTTGATCATCAAATCTTCTATTCCATTTTTCTTTCAATTCTTTATTTTCTGAAATTAAATTTTCATTTTGATGTTCCAACTCAATTATTTTTTGTTCATAATCTTTTATGATATTAACATAATTTACTCGCTGTGACTCTGAACTAATTAATTCATTTGTTATTTTTCCTAACTCTGACAAAAGATCCTGATATCGTAAATTCCTAAGCTGTTTATTTGAATTTATATCAACAGAAGTATATATAATATTGTCCTTTTGTAATTTCTCAAGAAAAGAATCTTTAGCAACTATTTGATTATAATGTTTTTGACAACTGAGTAATTTTCTAATGAATCAAATGATAATTCTGGAAAATATTTAGCAATGAGAGATGTGCGTTCAACTGATGCTGGTGCTGATGCATGTTTCCATCGTTTTTCTAGATCATTATCACACAATGTCAACTGGCTTCCTGGATATTTGTTTGAAATATCTTCATACAAACATGGTAAGGTATTAGCTAGTGGTCTAACATTCGTCATAACTAACTGTTAGAATTAAAAATTATCTCTTAAACGGTCAGAGTATTCTCTAATGGTAACACAAATTAAAGTTTTGATCATTCTCATTGGTCAATTGGAGAGCTCCAGGCAACAAGATAATTCCAGGATATTCCTTTTTAATTGTTTGTGCATGATGGTAAGGAACTCCATCACATACAACTGCAATCCATTTTCTTTCTTGTTTGTTGATCCCACTGATTTCTTGTATGTGATCAAAAACCTTACGAACATTGGCAATAGAATTTGGATTTACTAACAAAGGATCAGGAATAAAAATATGTGGTGTATTGACACCTTCATCAGGTGCTGACTTTCGTGTTACACTAATGGAGCTTATATTCAAATCTGGTACGTCTTTTTCAATTTGATGGAGCTTAATATTCAAAGGTTTTGTGATATTTTTTTCAGATGCTTCCTGACTTATTTCTTGTTCCTTTTTTTGAAAGTCTGCAAGTAAAGGTAAAAGTGCATTACACTGAGGACACCTACGCTTTAAATTCTCTATTTCTCTCATACCACATTGATTACACCATTTTATGTTTCCTGTTTTTACATTATACTTAGTAACAAGGTCATTAATAGTATTTATATCTTTATTTTTTTCTACAGATGCTTCAGAGATGATAGTTGAAAGATAATCACGAAGTTGTTGATCAAGTAATTCATGCATTCCTGGTGTGACATTGTGAGCGTGCAATCCGAGTTTCCTATTTAATAGGTTATTTATAGCTCAACACACAGCCTACTCGCTGACTTACAGTTGA